TGGTTTCCAATTGAATAATAAGAGTTTATACTATACTTGTTTGACATACCATTAGTGGATCTTCTAACCTTAAAATTTGTTATTATCATTATTTAATCATTTCGTTAATCTTTCATCTCAAAGTTCTCATCAACTTTTTCTTCATCTTTATCTTTATTATTATTATTATTATTACTACTACTACTAGTACTACTACTACTATTACAACAATAATTATTATTATTATTGTTGTTGTTGTTGTTGTTGTATTATTGTTATTTAAAATTTATATAATTAACCTCCCTGCGATTCGATCCCGGTTTTGTTGAGTTATTTATTACTTCGACACTCCTGCACTTTAAAGAAAACATCAATTTATTGGTTGGGTCAAGCTATCACACAAAACAAACTGAGAGGAAAAAGATGAGCACGCTTTGATTGATCACGTCTTTCATAAAAAAAAAAAAAAGAGGTTGACCGAGTAAGGTCTACAAACAAAATTATTTATGGTAGAAAGAAGAATATGTGGCAGAGAGTAGAAAAACTTGGCATGGGAAATCAGAACGTATTTGCGGGTGAGCCGACCAGGTGAAGGAGAAGAAAGCCGAAACGTGTTTAAGGTAAATGGGCTCTAATACCAAGTTGAAATACATTTTTGTAATAATTTGGTGAACATCATAATCAGGGACGCTCCTTTACTATTTATACAATTAGAGCATTGTACATCAATTATGGTGTAACTTATTAGATAGGATAAATTTATACAATAAAAAACCTGATATTTTTCTATTTTAAAACACATCCCATAATAGAAAGGGACAAAATGGTGTTTCAATTGTTATGGTGATTTGAATTTTTTAGGTGTGTGTGTCTATATATATATATATATATATATATATAGAGAGAGAGAGAGAGAGAGAGATTCTAATTTTTTTGTTGTAATTAATAATTAAGAGTAGGGATGTTAAGATGATATTATCCCATTGCGAGATAATAATGAAAAATTGAATATGGGTGGTTTCGATTTTTTTCAAGATTTTTTAAGTTGTGTTTTTTTAATAATAAAATTAATTTTTTATTTTTTTATGTTCTTTGTTTTTTCATTTGTCAATTTAATAAACATTTTTGTCCAAAAATAGAAAAAAGGATATATATATATATATATATATATAAATGAAATATATACAATAATATATAAAAAATTAAAAAAATCTTAAAAAATGTCGTAAATTTATTTAGAAAAGGCAAGAAATTTGTTAATGTTGTATATACAAGATTTTTACTTCAAATAGTTAGTGATAAAGTTATGAAAAAACTTCAAACATATAGAATTTCCATGACTTGGGTTCTGATTGATGAATACAAATCTTTGTCTCCTCTGAGTAGTTGTTTTTTAAAAATTAATTTTTTATAAGAATATAAACACTATAATATTTAAGTCAATAAATATAAAAAAGTAAATAATGTAAGAAAAGTTTAAGGGGGGTGCATATCTATGTTTAATGGTTAGGAATTAGATAGCTTCACTTGATTTTGGCTAGCTTTTATATGGTTAGAACTTGTTTGGCATGTACCCTTGCATGGCTAACTTATGGCCCGGCTTTCCATGTCTTATGCCCTGTGACCGGTTCTATTTATATACTCGAGCCTTAGAATTTTTTCATGAAAAATGAGAACGTATTGGTACGTTACTATTGGTTAGCCATAATGATCATTAGTTAATTATATGATGTCATAATCGTTATGACATGCATGCTTTTGTTGTGTTGTTATTTGTTGTGTCATGCATATTTGTTTTGTATAAAAAAACTTGTACGTATATAAAAAAAAATGTATATAAAAAATTGGTGTACGTGACTGCTGAAAATCCAAAAAAAAAAGAAAAGAAAAGAAAAGAAATAAACATAAAAAGATGTCCATCAGATCAAGATTGAACAAACCATGTCAGTGTCAGGTGTCAATCTAAGAATTCTAGCAGTCTGGGCTGGCAAGAACGGCTGGTTTTTTGTTTTTTTGTTTTTTTTTTAATAGAAAAACTAGTGCACCATGAGTTGGTACAACGTTGATGGCTAGTATGAGTGTCCACGAAACACACACCCAGCTGATACATTTTCCAAAAAAAATGGAATCTACCATGTGCAGAAGGCAGTTAGATACATAATTAAACCATCATTAATGCTCCACAACACGGCCAATTATATAGCAATTCGTAGTCAAAGTTCCGGTCTGGTTTGCTTCCAAGTGTACGGGGTATCGTGCTGCATGCAGCCCTACAAATATACCTCTAAAATTGGATTGCATTACCACAATCCAAGAACCAGAAACCCCCGCATACAGAGAAGGAGAGAAAGAGTCTCTTGTTGAGAGGGGAAAATAAATGAGTAGAGAGATCATGGCTTGCACTTGCTTCGGTAGTGTTCACCCAGGTATTGCCATGATATTTGTTCAGATCGTGTTTGGAGGGATCAATATTTTCTACAAGCTGGTTATCAATGATGGCATGAGCATAAGGGTAGCAGTTGCTTATCGCTTGCTTTTTGGTGCAGCCTTCCTGTGTCCTATTGCTCTCATTGTTGAAAGGTACGTAAATAATAATTAATTATTACTTACTTATTTTTATGTTTCAATAAACTTATAGTTCAATGACAGTACTCTTGCTTCTTGCATAACGTTAACTCTTATATTCAAGGCACGCCTTCAACAATTAATTTCACTATAGTAAAATATGCGCGCGCACGCGCGCGCTCAAGCTCCTTGGCTCTCGGCATGCATATATATATTCCTGTTTTTCTATCTAGCTAATTTCCTCATTTTCCTATCCTCACTCATGTTCTAGATGTGCAAGAGTTTTTGGGTTTCATACATGGTTCTCTCCTTTGAAGAAGCACGTAATATTTAATTAGTTAATTAAATGAAACTTTTGTTTAAACTGAAAAAAAATGAATATTGTTGCCTTTTGCTAGGACAAAAAATATATGGGAAATTTCGGTTTTAAATGAATTACTTTGTAATTTGGGAAGAAATTCGTGACAATAAGTTGTAGTTGCATAAATCAGTACACTTGAGTTCAATTCCAATAATTTTTAAAAAAAATCACGAAGATAATACCTGCTAGTAAGAAAATTTGCATGCAAATAGAAAGGTTGACGTAGGATATCTCGGAAAACCATTTTAGACAATTTAATAGCATATCCATAACTTTCTGAATTGAAATAGAATCAATTGGGAGAATTTAATAAAATCTCAAAAGTTTTTGAGTATTAAAAATTTAATTTTATATAAAATTTAATTTTTAAAAATAATACAAAAATAAAGTAGATGTCAGCCATGTAATTTACTATTCTAAAAAAAAATAATATTAAAACTAAGTTTTCTAAAATACCTTGAAATAGAACCATTTTGTTGACACGCAAATCAATTCTTCTTGTATATGGAATGAATTGTACATGGAATGTAACTCACTCGTATATATTCGTATGAACCGTTCATCCATATCCATTCCGGTATATATATGGTATCATTCCCAGTCACTCACCCACAAGAAAAATTATATACAAACACTTAAAAGGTTTTTTTTTTTTTTCAATAGAAGCTCAATCATTTAAAGTTCATGGAATCCACATTTTATTATAAAGCATTTGTTGGTAAATCATTTTTATTGCTACTAATTAAAACCTGACAATTCCTAAGGAAACAAAGAAGAAAACTACATTATGAAAGTCAAGAAAATTATTTCCCTTGATTCAGTTAATATCTTTTAATTTTGTTTTGGCAGGAACAAGAGACCAAAGCTGACATGGGTTGTCTTCTTTCAGATATTCTTCCTTGCTCTATTCGGGTATGGCCCTAGCGTGTGGGTGAGTGAACAAAGACCATCACTGACATGTGTAGAATTAAACTAATATTAAAATCTCATGTCGTTTCCAGAAAATCTAGCTTGGGGATTCTTGAACAAAACATCTCAAGTTCAAATCTCGAGAGATTGAATTTGGAATTTAGGAATCGATGAGGGTTTTCTCTATTTTATATTTCAGACCAGTTACACCTTGTCTTAAATCAGAAAACAAATTGCGAAATATTCATAGACATTATAGTATTGATCATGAAAAAGATGGTGAATTGTTTTTTTTTTCAGGGGATCAATATACCACAATTTATACCTGGCAAGCTTAAACTTAACATCCATGACATTTGCTGCAGCTTTGTACAATCTTAGCCCAGCATTTACGTACATAGTTGCCCTCCTTTTCAGGTGAGTTTTATTATTACTATTATTAATCTTTTTTGTTTATTTAATAAAATAAGTAGCAGCAAAACAATTAATTTTTATTTAAGAAGAAGCAATCAGCAGGTTTTTACTTCTTCTTTTCTTTTCTTTTTATGAATATCATGATTTTGAAGACAACAGGTTCTTCCATACAAGTCAAGATAAATTGTTATTATTAAAGTACCAGTGAAGAAACCTCACTATTGCAGAATTTTTTATGGTGTTAAGTAGGTATTTCTTCCCTTTTTAAAAAAAGAAAGAAAGATAGATAGATGATGAAAAAGAAAATAATATCTAATATCTATAAAAAAAATAAGAACATTTGTATTTATATTGAAAAATATTTCTTTTGTTTTCTCTTCCTTGTTTCTATCTTTTTCTTGTATCTGTTTTTTTTTTTAAAAAATGAATAATTACCGTTTTGATCACCATAAAATTATAAATACGGTCAAACTAGACCTCCAAATGTAGCCATAATGTACTAGAAAGGCAACATAAAATAACTTTTTGGTTGTTTCTTCAGGATGGAAACTTTGTCACTAAATAATGCACGGGGGATAGCTAATGTGGCAGGCACTGCAATATGCATAGGAGGCGCAATGCTGCTTACATTTTACCAAGGCATTGAGATCAACATCTGGCACACCAACATTAATCTTCTAAAATATCATCAAAATCATCACCAGAACACTGTAGGATCCACGAAACAACAAATGTTTGGCTTGGCAATTGCTCTGATTGCATGTGTGTTTTATGCTTTTTGGGTGATAATTCAGGTAAAGTAAGATAGATTTAGATGATTTGGTCATATATATGCCCTTATGCTCAAGTAAAGCAATTGCTTTTGGGGTGATACATGCGGGTTTTTTTTTTTTTTTTTTTTTTCTCTCACCAGTAATTTAGTCCTATAAATATTATACAAGAAACTTAATTGTAAAATTATTGGAAGATTTGAATAAAATCTTCCAAGAGTGTAGGGACTAAAATGCTAAAAACTCAATTTAATATAAAAATTTAAATTATTAGGTGAAGTATCGAGATATAATTTATATTATTTTTTGTCACATTTTTTTAAGTAAAACTTTTTTTAACTTGAAACTTATATATATTCACTCTAACTTATATTATTGATTAATTTTAATTACAAAAAATAAAAATAATAAAATTTAAACTTGTATTTGTTTAATTAACAAGATATTAATATTATATTACAAAATTATTTCAACAAAAAAAAATTTAATATTTTAAAATATAATTTATATTATTTCTTAACATAAAATTATCATCATCTCTTGAAATTATGCCATGTAGTTCATCACATATATGGTAACAAATCACCATATTACTTATATTTCTTATGTTGGGTTTAATGACAGGCGAAAATTAATGAGAGGTACCCATGCTTCTACTCCAGTACAGCTTTGATGAGTTTGATGGGATCAATTCAAGCTATTATTTACGCACTTTGCTTTGAAAGGAAATGGTCTGACTGGAAGCTTGAATCGAACATCCGCCTCATTTCTGTCATTTACTTGGTAAGTACCAGTAGAAATATTAAGATGCCTTATAGTGCATGCCTCCCTAAGAAAAGAACAACTTATATTATGTATAATTAGTTAAATTTGTAGAGCAATTCATGCCTTCCAAGCAATCTAATTACGATCCAATCCCAACCACATTTAGGGAAATTCTAGTGCCTTTGTATGGATTAGATGATTTTATATCCTGACCGAAGCAAACCACGATAAAACAAGGGATTTCATCCAAAAAAAAGAAGTAATATATAAACTTGAGAATTGGGTTTGTTCCCTACAAAATTGTTTAATCCCTTGATGTTGTTGGACTTGGTTTGCAGGGGTTCTTAGCATCTGGGCTGAATATCACCTTGATGGCATGGTGCATAGCTAAAAGAGGCCCATTATATGTAGCCACCTTCAATCCCTTGATGCTTTTGGTTGTGGCAGTGGCAGGTTCCCTGGTCTTTCAAGAGAAACTTCATTTGGGAAGGTGCTAGAACTTTCTTTTAACCACACAAGGATTCTTAACATTTAATTCTTCCACGCTTACACAAATATCCCTAACATGTAATGCAACTCACTTGTCAATGTATTTTGGTGGCACAGCATATTGGGGGGAGTGTTGATAATAACTGGATTATACACTGTGCTGTGGGGGAAAAGTAAAAATGCGAACAAAAATCAACCTGCTGTGTTGCCAAACAATTCTGATCAGGAATCACCAGAGGTTGCTGTTACCCCTCAATCTGAAGTCAACAAAGATAGCGCTGTGTAGATTAATTAATCTTTGTAATGCTATAGTTCATGACATTGTAATATAATTGCAAGCCTAGAAGCATATCAGCGGGAAAGAAATAATGGTTGCATTTCCGTTCATCGACCGAAGAATTATATAAATAATTCTCCTTTCCAGGCTTGTAATTGCTGAATTATACAATGGTGAACTGTTAGAATTTATAGTTTAATTTGCGTTTCATCGATGGTTACCTCTTAATTTTATATGTGTGTGTGTGTGTGTTGGAATATGTCATTTTTCTGTTATGTATTTATAAGATGTGGATTACTGTATGTAGGATTATTTTTCTAATACTTTCATTTACTTGTAATTTAATTCTTAAAATTGTCAAATGCTTTGCACTTCATGATTTAAATTGGACCATTCAATCTAAATAAATTCACTAGCATATTAGATGTACAAGCAAAGCTTAACGAGTCCTTCCATTCCAATATTAAAAATTTATAAAATAGTAATGAAATTATTGACCAAATAGTTTTTATTGGTAATGTCTAATTATAATAGTGATAAAATATTTATGTTGACAATTTTCAATATAATTACTAATATAAAAAATTTCATCAGTAATTAAAGCTGAAATCACTAATACGATAAAATAATTAATATATATATATTTTCTATTGGTATTTCTATCATTAATATGACATGTCATCATTTTCCAACAGATTTACTAATGATATTTTTCATCACAATATTTCATCAAAAAATCAATTAGCAAATTTAAAAATGTTATAGATATCAGGTCGTTCTTCTCCTCCTCCTCTTTTTTTTTTCTTGAATTGCAAATCAAAACAACAACTCCTTTCACTTATTTTGCCAAAAATCTAGGCTTTGTTATTAGAAATCTAGCTACCTATAGTCTATAGTG